GAGAATTTATAGAATCGGTTTAATTTCATCCTATTATCAAAGCAAATCAAAACATTTTCCTGAAATAAGCAAAGACTTTTACACAGCTGAGTTTCAATGTATCCTTACTTGGTGGAAGAGAAATGAAGATCACTTTGGTTTGCTTCTTTTCAAACACAGTGAATAAATGGAAGCAGCAGAGTTTATAACATTGGACACTGACATTTGGAGGGACAAGGGACATAAGGCATGTTAAATCTGGACATACCCTACAAATCTGGACATACCCTACAATGACTTCTAAGACTCTAGGCCCCACTATTTTGTCTTTTTTAATGTTAGCTAAAATCTAAATATGAGATATCAGAGCTCAAGACTTCATGAGTGTCAGGGAGATGTATTCAAGGAATGGGTCATAAATGCAGCTAATTTCATTTCTAGAAAAATAGGAACAAAAGAACTGCCACACTGACTGTTTGGAATGTCTATTGAAGAAGGTAGGAATGGACTGATTTATCAGCCAGTGGTGGCAAATCTTGTGGACTGGACCACAGCAAGATGGCCTTAGGCAAAGCTGTTCTTCAGCCAGAGCTGTGCTGAAACACTGATGGCAGAAGGATAAAAAACATTTCTGAAGCTCTCTTCTAGATACATCCAAACTCAAGGATCCTAAGGCATTAATCAGTCTTTGAATATCATGTCAAGGATCATGCAATTTGTGTAAGACTTTCACAAAGTTCTATGACAAGGCCCAGCTCCATCTCATATTTCCCTGCAGTTTCAGTGTTTGAGACCTTATGTGCCAGGTGTTGGTGACTGGCCTGCCCAGCTCTGCCTGGAGCCTCAGGTCCCAGAGGGGTGAGAGATACTGCAGAGGGGATGCTGCTGCTGGGGAATTGTCACCCAGCACACACCAAACAAAGGACCTCTCCTAAATAGCAAACTCCTTTCAATGCCTCTGAGAGCTGCAGCCCTCTTGCTCTCAACCCATCATATGGAATGATGAATTTAAAGACAAGTCTTGCGGGTGATTGTGTGGTTGGGGACACTTCCTTATGCCACCCCTACAATCTGGACATCTGTCCCTGCCTCAGTTCTCATCCCTCAGGAGGGAGCCTGAGACCCAGTAACCTGAAAGGCCCAATTATCTTTAAATTATCTTTAAATGCATGAACTTAGAGAGTTGGATAGCTTTTTTTTTCTCTTGCATTTATCTGCAGGGCTTTTTAAGTCTCTGTTTCAGGAACTTAAGGCAGGGTAAGTTTTAGAAAGCAGATCTGAAACCAAATCAATGCATATAGACTACTGAATGTAATTAAAACAGCTTGGAAGACACAGTGTTAATTGCAGAAGTGAAATGCATTTGGTGTAAATGAAGTTTCTCCACCCTCAGAATCAATATCATAGCCCCAGCCCTTTGTTACTAACAATTACTGGAAGAAAAAGAAGTGTTGACAAAATTGCAAGATAGCTCAATTTCTCTTTTTTCCTGCTGCTGAGAATATCGGGAGGTGGGGCTGTGGCCACAAAGAACTGAGTTATTCAACTGCAACATTTCATTTTAGTCATTTTAAAGGTAAGCCTGATGCACCTGATGCACCAAACCCCCCTCTATGAGAGCAGCTTGCTTTCATTTTTTTTCTCCTAGAAGCAAGCTTGCAGCTGTAGGAAAGTCAACATGGCTGTCAGGCATCCTCTCCGTTTCTTGAAGTTAGGAGTGGGAAACTCATTCCTCATTCTGTCCCTCGAGTCCATGTGCAATGGCTCAACATACTTTTCATAAAGAAAAAGAGCTACTCACTGTGCAACGCTTAATTCAAGTAAAATCAGCAATAAATACAAAGGATCCTTCAAGTTTCTATTTTTGGGTGAATACACTGACATGTATCATCTTTTACTAGGAACTTCTGTCTTCTCTGTGCAAATTTGCATTGAATGCTGGCAAATTTACATTTAAATGAATCCCCCAATGAAGGCAGGCTGAGAAAGTTGGGGCTGTACAGCATGGAGAAGAGAAAGTTGTGTGAGGAGCTCATAGCAGCCTCCCACAATCTGAAGGGGACCCACAGGAGAGGATTCTTCATCAGGAGCTGTGGTAGGAGTAGGAGGAATGGCTTCCACTGAAAGACAGTAGGCTGAGATTAGATAATGGGAATAAATTTTTACTGTGAGGGGGGTGGGCATTGGAACAGGTTGCCCAGAGAAGCTGCAGACTCCCCATCCCTTGAAGCATTCAGGGCCAGATTGGATGGAGCTCTGAGCAACCTGGTCTGGTGTGAGGTGCCACTGCCCATGGCCAGGGGATTGGAACAAGACATCTTCAAGATTCCTTCCAGCCCAAACCATCCTATGATTCTGTCTTGCTTTTACTTTACTAGGGTATTTAATTAAAAACATATCTGTGAAGGAAAGCCCTTCCAAGTGAAGGAAATGAAAGATATATTTAGAGAGAAAATGGCTGCCAGGTGAGAAGCTTGTAGAAGCAGGTCTCTGTTTTTAGCTACTGTTTCTAGACTTTCCAAAGACTATCCCCAGAAGCTGCTGGGGTACTTGTTGAACTGAGTATACTTTAAATGAAAAGGTGGATGAAATAATGGGATAGGGAAAGATGGTACTGTGGCCACCTCTCAAAAGCACTTCTCACTTCTTTCAGTGAAAAGGGTTTTCAGTCATGCTGACACAGACACCACACAGACCTAGCTTGTTCCTGCTGGCCAGATTGCCTTTGTAGGCTGACCCATCCCATGAAGTAGCTGGTCTGCAAAGCTGGAATGCTGAAATCTGCAGCTCTGAGTGAGCTCCTGAATCAAGAACCAAGAATCAAGGCAGTGACACCACCTAATTACTCAGAAGATCTCCTGTAGCTGACTGAATATGAGTTCATTTGCCTTAGGACATTTCATCTAGTGACTGTGTTACATCATTGTATTATTCAGACCATATAGGTAACCTTACTACACTAATTAAATTAATTCAAAATATTTGTGTAATTACTAAAGCATGAAACTGGCCAGTGCTGTCTGTGTTAGCACACCCTGCTATATGACTTGAGCTTTAAACTGTGTTTTATCCAAGGCAGCTCAAACATGCAGGGACTGAGCTTTCCCATTTTTCTCCCAGAAGGCTGAAAAGAGTATTTGTACAGGCACTAGAAGTTTTAATTAAATTTTAAAATTTAAAATTTTGGCGGGTTTTTTGTTTGTTTGTTTGGGTTTATGGGGTTTTTATCTGTGGATGACAAGTTGGTGACAGATGAAATTCTTCCTTTCCAAAAGGGATGCCTCTGTTCTTGAAATCCACAGGAATGGCACTGCTGGTGTTTGAGCCAAGTTCAGCACCTGCATCACCTGTGGATAGACTTGTGCAGGGTAAGCCCCAAGGTCCAGCTGAGGGAAAAGCTGACAAAGCCCTGCCCAGGCGCTGCTGTAAACCCCAGCCTGATATGACCTTCCTCCCTTCCTTCCCTCTCTCCTTTCTTCCCTCTTGAGGCCTCACAGCAAGGGAGTCGCTGGAATGGCTGAAATCCTGGAGGATAACGCCCTCTGCAGCTCGCTCCCTGTTTTATTTGGCATCTGCAAGAGAAATGTCTTGGGGGTTTTTGTTTGTTTTTTAATACTTGCCACTGTAGTTCTGAAAAATCAATGTATCTTTCTGCACTTGGGAGAAAAGGAGTTTCCCTGATCCTCTTTGCCCAAAGGCTTCCTTTCAAATCAGTGCTTCTGGCAAGTGATACATAAGTGATACATACCTGCTGCTTTTCGTTATATCAGCAAAACACCTTGTCATGTGTTTATTAATATTCATAGTGATGGAGACTGGAATCTGGAACTAGAACTTTTTTTTTATTTTGACATGTTTTCTTATGTCAAGAAAAATCCTGTAACTATTTTACCTTGATATTTTGTTCTTTATTTTCATGCTGAATCTCAGTACCAGGAGGTCATTAAATATAGGCTTCTGTTTGATTTTCCAAAACAGAAAAGTATGAGATGAGAACTGTAATTTAATTTCATCATCGATTTCAAAAGTACTTCTTTTGAACCTTGTTTTTTCTCTAAGTCAGTTATACCAGGCTAGATAAAATATGCTCCAGTGGGCAGGGTGTGGAGAAATGAGCCAAAATGAATCATTTCCTACATAAGCAATTTTTTTGTGTGTCTAGACACCTGATAACTCATCTAAAGCCCATCTTTGTTAGCTGGTTATTCTCCAGTGTTCTCAGAACTTTTGTATAAGCCTTAAAATCTTTCATCTATGTGTTTGCTTGTTCCATAGTTTTTTGAGAATCTTAAAGGGAAAAAGATCTTTCCCTAATTTTAAATTTTATAATTAAAATGAGCAAGACTCTAAGTATCTCAGCACATGCAGGTTAGATAGTGGGCTGGGAATCACATTTATTCTCATTTAATTCTGTGAGCAGACAAGTACATTCAGTCAATGAAGTTATATGCTGATAGTATACTCCGAAAAGCTGTTGATAAGGATTCGCCTGCTGACATGTCTTTTATGACCTTAATAGCAGCAAGTTGTTTAAATGAATGTTTATGATGTACACAAGAAGTGTTACAGACATGTGGGCTCCACACAAAATGTGGTTCTTCACGTGGTTCAGGCTTGGCTTCTCTGTGCTCCCCTGATTCCAAGAGAAACCAAATGGAGTCAGCACAGGACTCCTCTGCTCACCCTTGTTCTGTCCAGCACCTTCCCACCCCTGGGCAAAACCAGAAATGATGCTGTTCTAAGAAACTGGGACAGAAAGAGGGGCTCTGTGCTCCATGCCTAATAAAATAGTTAGTTAGAAAGGGGGATTTATAATCACTTTGTAAATTGATTGCATTATTTGCAAATAATGCAGCAAACTGAAAAAGTGTTTATAAAATGGTTTCAGCTTAAGTAGATAAACATACAAGAGACTCTTGTGGAGCAATTTTCTCCATGCTGGAGAGAATTGAATGTACATTTGCAATAATGGAGATTAATATATCCCACAGGAAATCTATTGGAGGCACATAGATGAACTGGGAGGCCAAAATGATAAAATTGCAGATCTTGCTGTGTTTGTCTGGCATCAAAAATCACTCTGTCCCATCCTCTCATGGCTGGCATCACCTTCAGGACTGATGTAAGTATGTAGTGGGCACTGGTATGAGAAGAGGGACACTGTCTGCTTAAGGCCATACTGTTATGAAGATATTTCTTTTTTAAGACTTCCACAGGTGGATTTCTGCAACTAGATTGTATTGCCAACTGGTTACCTTAAGATCAGTAAATAGAAAAATTGTTGCTTTAGTCTTTATGTTCATTGTTTAGTACACAAAATATGGCAGCAGACATATTTTATTAGAGTCAACTTGGTACAGTATTTCTCCAGTCTTGAATGGAAAAGGAGCAGTAAAAAAAGTATTTTAGAAAACTTGTGAAAGAAACAGATTCCTAGAATCCTTTAGGTTTGCGTAAATTTGAAGCCACATCTTCACCAATCACAGAGCATTCCTATAAGTATTCCAAAGATGGTACAAAAGGCATGGGAAATTAAGTACTAATTTGTTTACATTTTTCTTTTTTTTTCTAATACAATAAAACCCTAATTTGCACTCAGAATATACAGTTGGCAAACAAATGTTAAATCTAAATGAATAAAATATTTTCCAGCACAGTTTTAGGATTATTCAAACTGGGGAAATTGGGCAATTTATAAACAAGTGGGATTTGCAAAAGTAAAGCAGCAAAAAAAAAAACTTGGGTAAAGTTTGAGGGTGGGGAAGCAATGACAGCATTTCCAGGTTCCAGCCCCTGCACAGTGTTACATTTCTGATTAATTCAAATGTTTCTGCTAATGCATTCATGGCTAGTTAATCTGAAAATGGTCAAAGTTCAGTGGTTGTTGTTAGACTTTGTGGTGTGGATTTGCTCATGTCTCTGAACTGTGGTGTTTTCTGTCTGACACTGGTCCCAGCAGCTCTCAGTAAACAGCACAAAAGCTGAAGTCTGTACAGATTGGGCTCCAGCATCAATGCCACAGCTGCTGGGAGAAAGGAGCACAGATTCTGCTCTGTAGGCTCTCTTGCAACAGTCAGGAGTCTGAGGATTTTCTCAGATTTTGTTCCTGCTAGTCAGTAACTCTAGGGCTCCTGACTATATGTAATGTGTTAAAGGATCTTTGAACATAATGGTTAATTAACAAAGAAGACAATAACTTGGAAGAAATCCATCAGTTTTCCTTTTGTGAATGTAAAAAGGAGATCTTTAGGGGAGCTCATCAGAGACTCTTTCTCCTCTGTGTGATACCATGACATATACAGAATTAACCTCTATATTAGTTGTCCATTAATATTAAATTTCAACAGTTCATTAAAGTTAGGGAAAGATGACTGCCATCTTCCCTCTACGCACACATTCTCTTTTTCATGGACAGGTTCATCTATTCACCAAAATAATAATTGTCTTTGTCTTTTTATTTTTTGATTCTTTGCAGTGGCTCTCTCTCTTTGCATGGCAGGGCAGGAGAGCACCAAAGGATGAACTCCCTGGTCACGACCTCCCACCTCCAGCTTGCTGCCTTTGCTCTGGGCACCATAGGCTGGATCCTGTGCACTGTTTCAATGGGAATTGTGGAATGGAGAGTGTGGCATGTGGACAACACCACTGTCATCTCCTCTGGCATTGCCTGGGTGGGGATTTGGAAAGTCTGCTTCATCAGTTACCTTTACGTCTCACCTGGCTACAGAGAACAGTTTTGCCATAAATTCAGTGGCTATGACTCCTTCATCCCCCATGAAATTTACGCTGCTCAGGGTCTCCTGTTGATTGCCATGTTCATGGGCTTGCTGGGACTGGCTGCTACAATATTTGCTCTGAGAAATATCTATATGGGAGTCACTCACAAACCTCTCATTGCCCCGTTCTTCCTGGTGGGGGGTTTCTTCTACATATCTGCTGGTGTGTGTGTCCTGATTCCCGTGAGCTGGAATTTCTATTCTGTAACTCACAACCAGAGCATAGCTTTTCCTCCTTCTTACTACATGCCCTCCAGTCCAGCAGCACAGGAAGCTGGTGCTGCCATTCCTGTTGGGATTGTGGCTGTCATCCTCCTGCTGCTAAGTGGGACATTTTCTCTCTCATACAGATTTCCCATGACTGCAAACACTATCATGAAATCCTGACGGGACAAATCCCCCCATGCTATTTCAGAACAAGAGCATAGTTAAGAGATAAGGACAGCAGCATGAGTGGTTGTAAAGTTAAGGAACTGCAGAATTTAATTTTATTTTATAGTAGCCATGCTATTTTCTTATATGAACCAGCTGAGTCACGATCTTAGTAGTCACCTATTAACAGAGATTTGTCTTTGAGATAACTGCTGTTGAGCAGCAAATGTGATTAAATTTTGCCAGTTGTCCTCTTTTGTATATGCAAACATTATTGATTAACTTTTTTTTTTTTGTGTAAAATGTTTACCATGCTCAAAGAGCTGACTTTGAATGAACTGTCCTGTAAGAAAAATGTGAAGTAACATGTATTAAATGTGAATTTCTTTTCTTGTCAGTACTAAGCTTTTGTTGTTTATTTAGTTACATCTGTAGCAAAGTATGTTTCGTGACAAGTCAAGACTTTTAAAACCAATAATATGATTGTCATCATGGTTGTGTCAAATGACTCTTCCCTGAATTGTCTTATAAATGTCTTGCCAGTTTCTCCTCTTCCTCTAGGGCACATAAAGAGCCTTTCCTTTACTGCTTCTGTTTTTCTTTCAAGCTATTTGCATTTTATGTTGCAACATGTTTGCCTGTGGGGAAGGTGAGCTCTTTAGTTCTTAATGGAGGCAGAGCCAAAAAGTCTGCAAGTGTTTGCTTCTTCATCTGACACATCACTGAATCCAAATGTATTGCAAAAGACGGAAATAACTTGTACAAGTTATTACAAAACTAATGTCAAAATCAGTGCTCTCAGTAACCAGGAGTACTCAGGGCAACTTTCAGGGTATGATTCATCTGATGTAGAAATCTACATCCAAACCGGTCACTTCAGGTTCTGTTTATAATCAATGTAGAGACAAAGACTGCCCTTTTCCAAGATGCTTAGAATGGCTGGGAGATTACATGCTCCCTAAAAAGCTTTTTCTCTTAACCCACTCTAATGGCCACAGCTGCTAACTGTGGCACATATAACCAAACTTCACCTAAGAGAAAAAGAAAGAGAAATGTCCCAAATACTGCAATAAGGACAATTAAAAAAAAAAGTTTAGAGACTGGGAGGAATGAGCCAACAATGTTGACAAACAGATGATCTCTTGAAAGAGGTCCTCAAAATGTTGTCACATTTTTAAAGAAATGCCACAGAAATCTAAGTAATTTAGTTTTACTCTTTTAATTTTCCTCCATTTCTTAAAATACTCATGGATTCATAGAAAGAAGAAAATAATTTTTTTAAAAAATTGAATAGGTATTGGATGTTGCAAGACAAGGCAAAATGCCAACAAACCAGGACATCTTGCTGGTGGCTTTACTGGTGCAGCCTGTTCTAGCAGTCCAATTTTCCCTACACATCTTCCCCTGGGCTTGACTTTGCTGTACAGTCTGACAAGATAGAAACTCCACAGCACCTTCATTTCCTCTCCAGTCACTTTTGAAACAGTAGTTTATCTCATCATTGGTAATTATTTCATTGATGCAAGAATCTTAACTTTTGACTCTTTATGATGCTGTAAAGTACTTTCAAGTGGTGTTTCAATGAAGGCAGTTTAATAGCTTTTTCCTTATACATTGTTTCCAGTTTGGTTTCTAAAGTAAATTCTTTACAATATTGGTAGGTTTCAGTTTTAAAGGTACAAATCAATAGTACTGTCAGTAGTACTGTCATGTCTTCCCTCAGGGCCTACAATAGTATTAGATTATATCATATTATAGTTGTAAGAAAAAAAAAGAAATCTATCCATGTATTTATGCCACTAGCAAATTTATTACATTACTAAACTACCAATATTCCCTGGCAGGAAATTACCACTTTAGGAGACAATTACTGATTCTTCAATTCTTTTTGAGTTAATGTATGCACAGAAATGTCAGTAACCCCAACTGTATTTGTTAACTTTATTCACTAAATCATTGGGTCCATTTGGCTAAAGAAAAAGGAACAAACATCATCAGGGACATGCCAAGTTTCTGTGTTGCTGCCACTGCTGTTTCCACTGGGAATTATATTCATCTGTACTGATGTGCAGCTATGAAACATTGGTTGTATGTCCAACATTACTAGGTGGTGAGGAAATTTTACTCATGGATTTAACTTCCTCAGTTAAACACTGGAACAGATTACCTAAGGAGATGTATGGATTCTAAAATAAAGTTTTCTCAAAAAAATTTTAGGAAAATAGTGCCAGGAAGACTGTAGGCATGAGTGAGCCCACCTCAGGACAGAGGGCTTATCTAGATGGAACTCTTGCCATCCTTTCCCAGGATGGAACTTTTCCCATGCTTTCCTATCTCCCAATAGTCACATGGTCCAGATGTCATATGGATATATGGTGAAATACAATCTATGTTCAAATACTAGTCTATATTAAAACTTCAAGTCCTTCTCTGAAGAAAAGATAGGGGAAAAGTCTTACAGAATGGTGGAATCATTTAGGTTGGAAAAGACCTCTGAGATAATCGAGTCCAACCTTTGGCAATCACTTTGTCAGCCAGACCATGGTCCTGAGTGCTATGTCCAGCTGTTCCCTGAACACCTCCAGGGATGGTGACTGCACCATCTCCCTGAGCAGCCCATTCCAATGCCTGACAAACCTGTCAGTGAAGAATTTCCTCCTGATGACCAGCCTGAACCTCCCCTGGCACAGCTTGAGGCTGTTTCCCCTTGTCCTGTCACCGGTTGCCTGTGAGAAGAGACTGACCCATTCCCTCCTTTTAAGGGAGCCATAGAGAGTGATCAGGTCACCCATGAGCCTCAGTTCTCGAGGCTACTCTTAGTTCACAACAAAGGAGAGGCAAAACTTCCATTGATTTCAATGCACTGAGCCTGTCTGACCTTGTTCCACCAGGGCAGTGTGATTGATTAAAATGTAGTGAATGTTTGTATTCAACACAATTTTTATACTGGAGGAAAGCAGAGCCCCTGTGCTTTTCCTTCACCAGCAAGGTGGCATAGTTTCTTTGTGTATATTTACATGACACATTTATTTTAGATTTGAGAAGCTAAGTTACCTTTCAGTAGGTCTGTTTGTTGCCATGTCAGTTGTGCTTATATACGTACTTTTAGAGGTTGTCTGTAAAATCAGGTAACTGAAATGGTTTTGGTTTAAAACTCAAAAATGCAATATTATTTTGGAAGACTATTTTTAACCTAGACTGCTTTAGAGACCTACTCAATAGCCTGGCCCCACACTCATTTGCAGCAGCACAACTGAGGACAGGCAGGAAGCTGTAATGCAGGCAAGAGTGAGAGGCCAGGGCTGTGAGGTAGGGAGATAAGGGGCAAAAACCTCCTAAGCGAATTTCACCACAGAATAGATCATATCATGAAGCTCTGTCTCCAGCTTCAGTGCAAACTGGGACCTGCTCCCTCCCCAGTGACAGCACCGCTCGCCTTGTGGGCTCCACCCTGTCTAGGAATGTCTCCACACTGGCCTCAGTCTACACACAAACCAGTCAAGCTTTATTTTTTCTGAGTTTACTATAAACAAGTACCTTGTGATTCACCCACATGTCCGAATTCACTGCTGGGGGAATATTCTGAATACCAAGACCCCCTTTGAGTTCTGCTGGGGGATAATGATGAGGCCCCCATGTTTGACCTCCATAACATACTCCTTGGCATTAATCCACCCCAGGATGCATTTTCTTCATCTTACTTACATGTACTAGCTATGTCACTTGTCCATTCATGGCCACAGACCAAAAAATATATGAATATACTTTCAATATTCCTCTAGGGTGGGTGATCAAATAGAGAATGGAGCTGAACAGTGCCTGACAGAAACAGCCCCACAGCACAAAGCCTGCTGAGTTTTTCCCCCCAGATGAATACACAATTCAGGACAACTGTCATTTGTGCTCAGGCAAAGGAAGCAGGATGAACTGGAGACATTGTAGTGCAGAGTAGGTCATCAAATTAGTCAGGTAAACAAAATTTTTATTTGAATCAGCAGTTCTACATTAAGACAGTCTCAGCTGCAGATTTAGCTGATTGAAAACAATGTTAGGCTCAGAAAGAAATGTCTTTGTTGTCACATGGCTTATGGTATATTACAATGATGAGAAAGGAGATTGTTTTCATGGATATTTTTAGACCTGCAACCATTTTCCTCTTAGAATGGAAAAACTGAAATGTCACAGCCAATTCCCTCCTCTTTGGGCCATGAAGTACTTTAGGACAAAGAGTTTTTGCTTAAAAAGTGTAAGTCTGGCTGGCATAGTGTTAATGGCAAAGTGTTTTCTTAAAATAGGAAACCAATGTACATTAAATTAAGGGTTCTCAGAGGAGACATGTTCTTGTGAAAAATATACCTTTTTCAAAACTGAATTTGGATTCCTTTCATTTTTGCCAGCATCTGTATTGTCAAATCCAGTATCAGCTCATAAAAACATATTTTTCAATTGACCTATTTCCCCCTTTCCACTGCTCAGATAATGTACTGCTTCCCTTGCTTGAGAGGGTTCAGTAATTAGCTGGGCGCTTTGGAGTGTGCTGGCTCTTAATTACTGTCTCTAAACCAACTGCATGCCAAACAAGAAAATATAAGTGAATCTCATCTCAGAATTATAAACCAAATAAATACTGGCTTAAAATTGGTGATGGAGTACAGCATGCAGTGTTAATATCCAGTTCACAGAATGTCACATCACTGCCTTCCTCCTGGGTTATAGATGGGAAAAACCAAGTATGAGGTTAATTCCCAGGATGCTATTTGAAGAAGCATATACATTCTGACTGCCCAAGGTTACTTCATGTGCAGGCTGATTTTCAGCAGCTGAACATGTGGCCCCATTATAATATAAATAGGGAAAGGTGAAAAATTAGAGTGGGTGAGATAGCATGTGAGAAACAGAACAGGAGGCATTCATGGTACCCATAACTACATAGGTGCACTGCAGTGCCCAGCTGACTGAAATTGAGGGTGAGGGGGGGAATCCCTTGAACATCAGAAGTGCTTAAAAAACCCTGAAGAATACAGAAGTGGAAAGGA